TGAAATCTCCCATTTTTATTAGTTTTAGACACCCAATGTGCTTAAGTAACTAATACTGACTGTCTCAAAAGGATGCAAGTTGCATGAAATTTAAAAAAATTTTCCCAGGATATTTGCCCAGCAAAATTAATCCTGTCCTCTCAAAGCTGCAGGCAGCCTCTGGAAATAGCAGGCATTTACTGGGCCACAAAACCTGGCATTTGGGCCAGCGGAGGGGGTACATAGTAAAGCTGTCCCTTTCCTCGAGATTGGGCCACTGTGAGTTCTCCCAAAAGCATCAGCGAATGCCAGTGATCCCGTAGGAGCCTTTCTCGCAGCCTGGCTAAACTGGACGCGTGAGCACCGCCGGGGCCCAGCAGGTTTGTCCTTTAGAGGGTCATTAACCCTCGGTGAGATCCGAGCTGCCCGGCCGAGTGCCCCGTTTGCTGTTGGGAAGCCAGGCTGGGAGCTGCCCCCCACGGCCGGGTTCCAAAATGCAGACCAGGATGGGGGTAGTCTTGGACGTCGGCTTGCTCCAGCACCACGTTCCTGTGCTTCCCTCCTGTCCGCTCCTAAATTCCCTGTTTTCCTGAGCGTTGTCCCCAGCTCAGGTTTGCGGTAGCAGATGGATCGGCCCCGAGCGGACCCTGTCTCGACTCCAGGCTCGGGCAGACGGCGGCCGCTCGCGGTGCTGAGCTGCGCTCCTGCCAGCGGCAACAGGCAGGAGTCTCCAAAGCTGCAGTTTCTTGACCACTTCCTGCTCGGAAATTGAAGAAGATACGTGCAAATAAAACACCTGGATTTTTCAACTCCCCGCTTGGAAATACTGCCAGGACATCGACAACGCAGGCACCGGCGCACCTGGGAATTGGAGGCACCTGCACTCTGCGGCACGAGTAAAACGCGCTGGCGTTTGCCAAAACGTGGGGACGAACCGGATTTACAGCAGCGCGGCCCCCTCGGAAGCGACGGGACGGGGCGACCGCGACTCTGCGACTCCCGCCGTTCCCGAGCGGCGCCGCCCTGTGACCGCGCACGGAATTTTCTATATACATTCACATATATAAATATCTGTATTATAATACTATAATTAAAAGGACTTATCGGAAGCCCTGTCCTGTCAATTGCTTCTATTCCAGTTTCACTGAGCCACAAAAATGAGTCTTTTGCATTATTCGTTACCTGTTATGGCAAGCACAAAAACATGCCATCGCTGACATTTAGGAGGCTCTCTGTACGCACACATATGAAATAGTTAAATTGCCCAGTTGCTCTAGCTGGAGATCACTTTGGCAAGCAAAGAAATTAAATAGTTTCTCAATGACGACTT